CGTGCTTATCTTATTAGACCGACGGGAAGGTCATATCGGTTGTATTCTTCTGGTGTAATTATTCTGAAAACTTTTTCATATCGTATTATGTAAAGTTTAATTAGAGAATTAATTTTTTCTTTTTGGTTTGTTCAGTTATTCTATTAATTCTGTTGTGTTTTATAAGAGAGTTAGATTCAGAAAATGAAATTTCATTCGATCTTTTCTCATTTAGTTATGGTGAGAATCGTCGAGTATCAGATGAAAATAAACTGAATAAGTTGGCTTTTGTTTCGCTCTATTAATTTGAAGACGAATTTTTCTAGATTTCATGAGAGAAAGTGAATGATTTGTTTTGGCTAATTTTTACTCAATTTAGATCGAGCAGATATTTAACGAGCATTTCACGAGCGGAGTTCTGCTGCATGTGGGACTCGAATCTACATCATTCTCTCATCCAAAAAAAAAGATTTATTTGGACACTAAGTCCATTTAGCAGATTCGTGCCTACCAGACTTCAATATCTTTCTTCGTTTTTCTGACTCAAATCACTCAATCCTCCTTCACATAGCTTCAGATCGACACGAGTTCTTTATCAGAAACTATCCGTTAGAACTCTCATTATATCTGCCGTAGAAGTTGTATTTCCTCTCCACTGGATCGAACTTAATGGTATGTATCATAAATGTGTTCTGAGTACTGACAACCGCTTTTGTTCTACGTCGGCTATCAGATGTCAACATATTTTGTCGTCAGTAGTGCCTTTTGATTATTTTAAGGACAAGCTTCTACACAGACTGCGTCAGTTTTCTATTATTTTTTGTGCAAATTGTGTTAACAAACCACGTTGTATACAGTTTTAAGCATCTCTCTTCTATTTTAGATTTCTCTCTTCTATCAAGTGAATTTGCACGTACTCATTTGAACTGATCAGTCACAAATCACGCAACAATTGAAACGTTATCACGAGTATTCACACGACTTCTTCACCTGCATATCCAAGTAAGTTTTTCTTCACCATCAATAAGCATGATAGTTAATTTTAAAGAAAGTTCTCTGAATTCTCTCGAATGCGAATTTAGTTCTATTTTACACTAAGGTCCCATACGGCTGTGGATGTGGGTGTGTGTAGATACGAGTCTTTTCTCTTTAAATACCGACACTCGCTTATTTCTCCACGACTATATGTCAGAGAAAAATGGTTCTTATATCATTCGAAAGAGGTCACTTCCAAGATCATGCCTGTGTAAAAATGTTTTGATTTGAGTGTAAAATGGCTATGCACTAAATCAAACAAGACATGTTATTTCTTTAGTGTCGTTATTAGGGGCATTGACTGTATTTCTGGCTTATGCAACGGCAATACCATGGAAGAGATTGCATAATTTCTCGTTTCTATCGCAATTTCTAAATGGTATATTTTTATTAACATAGCTTCTGATTATTTGATCCTTAAAGTTTGAAATGTAGAACAGATTATTTTCAGAAGTATTGGTGTAAACGTGCTTGTTATATGCTTCGCTCGTCCTTGGAACACGGGAAATGCTCACCAAACATGCAACGTTTCCTAAATATTGATTAGCACCAAGAAGACTTACTGTCTCATGGCCTTTAACTCTTTTTCTTATCTAATTGTTATCATTATCGGTGGAACCGTCTTAACTATTATAGCATACCGCTGTTCTCTAGCTTCATTTAGCACATGGAACGCTAAGAAACACCGTGAATCGATCAACGAAAGACAACGTCTTTTTCAATGTCGACACATTGGAAACATAAGTCATTTAAAACGATTCTATGAAGTGGACTGTACCAATCCATTTCTGAAAGCACTAGTGGAAAGCGTCGAAAATTCGGTCGATTACGATATTTGTGACAGTTTCAATCCCTTATATGCCAGGATTACGACCGAGTTTCGTTCCTTCAAAACTTTCCAATTAACGGATTTTAAGACACTTTTGAAAGTTTGTCCCGACTGCCATCATTTGCAAGTTATAAATGGCGAGCTATACGTTGTTCCACGTTCAACATCAACAAATTACGAAACGCGTAGTCGAAGCGTTAAAACTCTTTTCAAACATGTTATTGATACTTTCAATAACATACCAAATATAGAGTTCCTCATACATGTAGGAGACTCGGTAGGAATGGATAGAAATTCCAATCATCTTCCAAAATGTCCTGTTTTCGGCTTTGCAAAAAATAGGAACGATAAGATAAATGATAACTATACAGATGGTGTTGTATCAATCCCGTGCTTTTCATTTTGGAATTGGCCCCAACCAGGAATCACTAGGTGGGATAAAAAGATTATTAGCATTAAACAAGCAGGGGATCATAGAATCTTTACTAATAGAACAAGTAAATTGTTTTGGCGTGGAGCTCGAACAGGAAGGCGAGAGAATTTGGTATCCATAGCACAAAAGTATCCACAAATTATGGATGTTTCCTTCATACACTGGATAGGAGTTGAACATCTAACACTTTCGGCGTCTAACCAATATCGAACACTCGAGCAACATTGTGACTATAAATCTCTATTGCATATAGAAGGAAATACTTTTTCTGGAAGACTAAAATACTTATTATTATGTGGTAGTCCAGTAATATTTGCTGCGATCAATGGATGGGAAGAATTCTGGTATCATTTATTGAAACATCAAGAGAATATTATTATTCTTGATAAAGCCGACGAGAGACTGCTATTAAATCTGACAAACTATTTGTTGCAAAATACAGAAATAGCTTCGCGTATCGGTATAAATGGTCGAAATATTGTTTTAAAGTACCTTAATGAACAAGCAATATTCTGTTATGTCAGAAATGTGCTTCTAGCTTATAGCAAGCTAATCGATTATCAGGTGACAAAACATGACCAAGCTATACTGATAGATGATTTTTTAGTCAGTCATTTGAACAAATAATTGCGAATATCGATATCGGAAGATGTTATAATATAAAAATTTTTAGATTACATTTTATGATAACTTCTCAGGACGAGGAATCCTACTCTTCAGATACTGCTTGTAATACAATTGCTTCTCTCGTCAACTTTGTATTTTTAAGTACATGGTATATATATATGTCGTATCGAAGTTACACTATCTTGAGGGTATGGGTGGGTATGGGTATGTGTGAGTGTGGGGTGTGAGTGTGGTGTGACTAGGGTGTGAGTGTGGAGTGTGGGTGTGGGTCTTGTTCTTCGATCCCCCCACACCCACACCCGGCCACACCCACACCCACACCCACACCCGGTCACACCCACACCCACACCCACGCCCACACCCACACCCAGACCCACACACCCACGCCCACACACCCACACCCACCCACCTCACCCACACCCACCCACCTCACCCACACCCACCCACCCCACCCACACCCACACCCACACCCACACCCACCCACACCCACACCCTTCAAAGTGATATGTTTAATATAGTTCGATGCTTAACAATGACTGTTGAACGTTCTTTACAACATAGTTTCTTCATATTTATCTCTAAATGTTTTTTTCTTCTCAAAGAATCACTTATTCTTACTTATCAAACATATAAAAACAAAAATAAGCCATATTTATCTGTATTAATTATATTTCTTCGTCTTATTTTTTTTTCAATCGAGTTGAAACACATATAGATTATGGTGAACAACTTTTCTGCAAGAAAAATATCCATCTACAATCTTTAATAGATCTATGCGCCGAGTACAAGTCATTCTCAATGATAAGAAATAATTTTACCGATAATCCAAAAATTTCTGATTGTGCCAAAACAAAAAAGAGAACTTCACGTAGATAAGTTGTTGCGATCAGTAGTAATCTTGTTAGAAACTCTTTGAACAAAAGAAGGTAACAAAGTGATAAATTCAAAACGAATATAAATATGTACAATAATCTTTTGTTGAATTTCAAGTAAAATTATAATTGATTGTGTTCTCATACAAAAACTTGAAGTGGAAACTCATATATATATGATTTTCAAGTGAAGAAATTTCATTAAATTCCATCAGTTATCATACTTCAATGGCCAAATTCTGACACGAATATCATCAAATTTAATATTTCAATATGATGGAAACAGTGAGACTAGGGTTTTGGAAAAGTTCTAATATATCTCTTTCAAATATAATGTATATTTAATAAGGGCTAACATTGAAGTTTTAAACTATGTGAGTTTTTAACTTCTCTTTCTCACGCACATAGCTATCCAAATTCAAACTGATAGTACTACTTTATATGCTTTGAAACTTTATTTTCAATATTATATAGCAGTTCACTGACACTGACTTTACACAGGAAGCGTTATTTACAAAAGCATGTTTTACTAAAGCTATAATAAATAGACAAAAATATGACCCTCACAATATTCTCTTCATAATGCAGTGATATACAAAAGCGACAAGCGAGTTAAGCATGAGAGCAGCAAAATGAGAGAAGGATTGTTAAAATCGACGAAACAAACCATTTTCGATATTTGTTCTTCATTGTATACTGGCGAAGCAATGGACAAAATCGGTCAAGCTTCAATGGCGAAAGATCAAAAGCTAGAAAAGTGGAAAATAAGTAATTGAAACTTTAGAAAATATTTAAGAAAGAATTACCAATACGACTATCGACATAGCAACTGTCATTGAATATGTTCTACTTGACTTTAATGAATCTTGATATGAGGTTATATGATATGTCGTTGTTGTTGTCGACGTGAAAATGGTCGTTAAAGTTGAAGCTATAATCATTCGCATAGAAAAATTGATTAGAGCAATCTTTGCAGGATTAATATGTGAAACATAATATTATTCTTGTTATTAATTTCGAGAACATAATTGTATTCTTTTTTCTTGGAATTTATACCTTATTTAATTTTCTAGAACTACATAAATGAAATGGTTCAGATACTCTCATGAGATATAGTGATAAATGACCGCTAATTGTGTATTAGGAATTGCTACTCTATGTAGATAGACACTCAACTTAGATTGTCTTTCGTGATAGCAATAAACTATGGTTATTAAAAGACTTTTTACTCACTAAAACAGTCAAGTATCTCGAACTTTTGGACCCGATTGTTGTTTCCATCGCTAATAAAAAGAGATCCATAGCTATCAAATGCCAATGCATTCGGCCAATGTAGAATATCTATTCCAATATCAGTAATACCCGTACAAGCCGCAATACATTCACCAGTATTCGAATTCGGTGCCCATCGAACAATTCGACTATTTCCTTTATCAACTATATACATATATCCATTCAGATCAACAACAATTGCTGATGGATACGATAATTCGGATAAACTATTACCATTAACTCCAGTACCAGCCACTGTCACACCGAAAGAAGCTCCATTATTCCATATTTGAACTCTATGGTTGAAAGAATCCACAACATACAATGTTTCAACTTCATTGACAAATATTCCCCATGGGATATTTAACTGTGAGCTGTCGTTTCCAGAAGTACCATTTCCAGCTATTATCATACCAGGCATACCACTTGATGAATTTGGTGAGTAACGAACCACTCTGTTGTTAGTAAAGTCACTAACATACAAGTTCTCATTTTTGTCGACAAAAATGCTATAGCAAAAACCGATAGTTGACGTATTATCTGAATTTCCATATTGACCTTTAATTCCTGCAATGATCTCTGGACTTGTTCTATTTTTGAAAAATCTTACCACATCGGAATTCCCCAAGTCTGCAACATAGATATATTTTTCAGTGATAAAAATATCACCAGGCATACTAAATAGAGGATTAGAATCCGATCCATTCTGAATAATAGCTACAGCTGTAGTTGAATTAGATCGAATGACAACAATACGACTATTATCAGAATCAGCAATATAGAGAGTATCATCATTTGTTATTCTTATTCCTATATTCCCATTGAGAGTAGATAAAGAAGATCCAGGTGCTCCATTTGCCAATCCTGCAACTGTTGTAGCGTTCTGTGCCCAATGCGAAAATGGTGACAGGCTTTGTTGTGCTAAACATAGATCAAAGTGTCAACGTCAACTCGTTCTTTCCTTTTATAGTGCGAATATGAGTATTGAAGCACATATAAACAATATACAACACCTTAAAATACGTTTTTGAATAGAAATATTGTTTTTGGCAATTATTGAGTTTACCATTAGAGACTAGTTAATAATTATGCTATATATTTGGATTTTTCTTGTCTTAGCTCGTCAATTTATTCAAGTGTTTTGTCTATCTGCAAAGTATATTTAATGCGAACGAGTGCATGCTCAAAGAATTTTATTTTTCATACGAAATAAATTATCTACTTGGATCAGTAGAGATGTAACAGAAATATTTTATCTAAGATCTATTTCTGTTTTGTCCAAGGTTTTCGAGAGCAATTATTACTCTTGAAAAAACATAATACTCAAATAGATAGTAGGTCTTCATCCTGAGTTTTAGATTGATTTTACAGAATAAATATTTCATATAATATTGTGCTTTTTAGTTGGAATACTGTCAACGGTTAGTTTTACACTTCTAAATATGGCGAATATATATTGTTTTTCTTTTGACAAACAGAATTAGAAAAAAATCTCGAGAGAAAAGATTCAAGTGATGAAATCTGTCTTATTTATTTATTTTCATTTACATACGGCAGTCAGAAAGCAGTAAGAATGGTACTTTAGTTTCTTATAAGAAGCTTTAAAATCTTTTTTTCTATATAGACTGATAGAGAAAAGAGTGTTCTATTTTTCTATGCTATTTGATTATACTTCGACTAATCTAATGATAATAAATTTTCGGGTAAGACTTTTTTTTATTACGATGTCTACTGGATGAAAGTTTGCGTTGCAATTTCCAGTCCGTTAAAACATTGTATCAACAATTAAAATATACCATAAAATGCAGTTTCGAAATGCCCAAAGTTCGGTCCCTCAAAACATTGTAACTAGAAAATAATTGGTCTCTAATAAAATGTAGAGCTTTTCATGGTGCGCTTTATGTTATATTTTGATTGTTGATACAATGTATTAAGAGACTGAAACTAATCCGTCTCCTTTGTTTTCATCCAGTAGACGTGGTAAAGAAGAAATTCTTATCGAAAATTTATTATTATTAGTTTAGTTGAAATATAATCAAATAGCATAGAAAAAATAGAACACTCTTTCCCTATCAGACTACATAGAAAGACAGATTTTTAAAGTTTTTTATAAGGAAATAACGTACTATTGTCATTACTTTTTGACTGCCCTAGGTATTTAAATTTGTTTTCTAACTAAAGACAAGACATAAAGGGAGATTACTCGTAAAGGTTGCTAAATTGATATCTCTACCTGTTGAATATCATCTCACTATAAAAACAAAAACCTAATCCTTAGTGATTAATCGATTTTGTCCTTGAGCATTAATGATTCTTAGGATGTAACGAACACAGATAATACAAATATTGATGAGATGACTGCGGAATGAGAAAAAAAATGAAGTTTTTACCAATGATTCGATCTACAAATATCATCAGAAGCATTAAAAAGCTAATAATTGTCGTAGATGAATTGAACATTAGCATTTTATTGTGGTATTAAATTAACTGTGAACAAAGTTGATTAGATGATAGTTTCGTTCTTGCGAAAGAGTACTTTCTAAAAGAGAAAGAGAGAATTTCACAAATAAGTATGTTTTCATGATAACTCAAAAGCTGTTATGAAAAAGAAAGAAATCGAACAGTTAGTTACATTTTTTTTCTGAGAGTATGTGATTGTTAACTGCTAATACACAAAATATTCTTAGATCAAGTAAAAAAAAACTTTACCAAAAGTGCTTATAAATGTCATAAGAAACGTTTTCATCACTAGAAATAATCTAGTATTTATGTGTATGTTTCATATTTTGCTGGTTCAATTTATTCTTACACTTTCAGTGGTAGATGGATAGAAAAGGTCAAAAAGTTTTTGTAAGCTCCATATATTAGGTTCCTATCTTAACTGTTGGAAATACAAGAGTAAACTAAAGTATTATGATATGAAAACTTGTGAGAAACTGAATTATTTGTAGAATTAATGGAAAAAAGTCTCGTTTTCCTGTAAAATCGCAAAAGAACATTTTCCAACTATTTCGGTAGATATTTCTTTCTTTAGTAGAGGGAAGATCAACCCATACCACACAAAGATACACAGTAAAATATTTGATTCTTATCAGAATAGTGAATGAAAATATTTCTTTTAAAAGTAATTTGGTTGTTCAAATTCTATTACTTGTCTCACTTCAGATATATTTTAGTTTGTTGAATGATATGAAAAGAGAAAATCAAGAGAGAGGAAATAAAAAGCTAATATTTAACAATGATTACATTTTTCACATAGTACTTCAGTTTGAGATACTGGAAATGAGTTTCTATTACGATGATAAACAACAATCATGAAGAAATAGAATCATTTGTGTAGTTACTTTATATCTTTTACGATTACTAAAAGAAGTTCATAAGAAATGAGATTATGAAGTAACAAAGAGAGACAAGAACAAATCTCAACTTTTGTTGTTCTTTTTTAACTGTTTGGTGCTTGTATCTCTCAATGAAAACCTGCTAGGTATGAGTTATCGAA